TAGGAGAGTTTAATTCCTTAAGTTCCATGTATATTCTGGCTATCAGTCCCTTGTCTGATGTATAGCTGGCAAATATTTTCTCCCACTCTGTGGGTGGTCTCTTCACTTTAGAGACCATTTCTTTTGTTGTACAGAAGATTTTAATTTTATGAGGTCCCATTTGTCCATCCTTTCTCTTAGTTGCTGGGCTGCTGGGGTTCTATTGAGGAAGTCTTTGCCTATACCCACCAGTTCCAGAGTGTTCCCTGCTCTTTCCTGTAGTAACATCAGAGTTTCAGGTCTGGTATTTAGATCCTTGATCCATTTTGAGTTGTTACTAGTACAGGGTGATAGACATGGATCTAGTTTCAGTTTCTTGCAGATGGTTAACCACTTTTCCCAGCAACATTTGTTGAAGCGGCTGTCGCTTTTCCATCATATGTTTTTGGCACCTTTGTCAAAAACCAGGTGGGTATAGTTGTGTGGCTTCATATCTGGGTCCTCTATTCTGTTCCACTGGTCTTCATGTCTGTTTTTGTGCCAGTACCATGCTGTTTTTATTGCTATTGTTTTGTAATATAGTTTGATGTCAAGTATTGTGATACCTCCAGCATTGCTCTTTTTGCTGAGTATTGCCTTGGCTATTCGCGGTGTCTTGTGTTTCCAAATGAACTTTAGGGTAGATTGTTCAATCTCTGTGATGAATGTTATTGGGATTTTGATGGGAATTAAACATGTAATCTGCATTAAACATGTAATCTGCATTAAACATGTAGATTGCTTTTGGTAGTATACCCATTTTCACTATGTTGGTTCTACCAATCCATGAGCACGGGAGATCTTTCCATCTTCTGTAGTCTTCCTTATTCTCTTTCTTCAAGGGTTTGTAATTCTCCTTGTAAAGGTCATTCACATCCTTTGTTAAATTTACTTCTAGGTATTTGATTTTGGGGGGGCTATTGTGTATAGAATTGTTTCCATATATTCCTTCTCAATGTGTTCATTATTGGTGTATAGAAAAGCTAATGATTTTTGTAAGTTGATTTTGTATCCTGCCACCTTACTGTAGCTGTTTATGGTGTCTAAGAGTTTTTGGGTAGAGTTTTTTTTTGGTCTTTAAGGTATAGGATCATATCATCTGCAAATAAATATATTTTGTCAGTTTCTTTACCTATTTGTATTCCTTTTGTTTCTTCTTCTTTCTTAATTGCTCTGGCTAGAAATTCCAGTACTATGTTGAAAAGGAGTGGAGATAGTAGGCACCCTTGTCTCATTCCTGATTTTAAAGAGAATGGTTTCAGTTTTTCACCACTAAGTATGATGTTGGCTGTAGGTTTGTCATATATAGCCTTTACAATGTTGAGGTACATTCCTTCTATTCCTAGTTTTCTTAGAGCTTTTATCATGAAGTGGTGTTGGATCTTGTTGAAGGGTTTTTCTGCATCTATTGAGATGATCAAGTGGTTTTTATCATTGCTTCTATTGATGTGCTGTATTACATTTATAAATTTGTGTATGTTGAACCACCTCTGCATCACTGGGATGAAGCTGACTTGGTCATGTTGGATGATCTTTCTGATGTGCTGCTGGATTCAGTTTGCCATTATTTTATTAAGAATTTTTGTATTGGTATTCATTAAGGAAATTGGCCTATAATTCTCCTTTTTGGAGGTGTCTTTGTTTGGTTTTAGGATGAAAGTTATATGGGCTTCATAAAATGAGTTAGGCAGTATTCCTTCCTTTTGTATTTTGTGGAATAGTTTAAGGAGAGTTGGTATTAGTTCTTCTTTAAACATCTGATAGAATTCAGCAGTGAATCCATCAGGTCCTGTACTTTTCTTTTCTAGGAGATTATTTATTCCTGCTTCAATTTCTTTTTGTGTTATAGATCTATTCAGGTAATTAATATCTTTTTGGTTTAGTTTTTGGTGGTTATAAATATCTAGGAATCTGTCCATTTCTTCAAGATTTTCAAATTTATTAAGAGTATAGGCTCTTGAACTAGTCTCTGATGATTTCCTGGATTTCTGTGGTGTTTGTTGTTATCTCCCCTTTTTCATTTCTGATTTTACTGATTTGGGTATTTTCTCTCCTCATTTTAGTCAGGTTTACCAGGGTTCTGTCAGCCTTAATTACTTTTTCAAAGAACAAGCTTTTTGTTTATTGATGTTTTGTATGGTTTTATTTGTTGTTTGTATTTCATTAATTTCAGCCCTTATTTTAATTATTTCTTTCCTTCTGCTTGTTTTGGGATTTGCTTGTTGTTGATTTTTTAGGAGTTTGATATTATTAAGTCATTGATTTGAGATCTTTCTGACCTTTTAATATATGCACTCATGCCTATAAACTTTCCTCTTAGGACTTCCTTTTCTGTGTCCCATAGGTTCTAGTAGGTCATGTTTTCATTTTCATTAACTTCCAGGAATCTTTTAATTTCCTCTTTTATTTCATCGATGACTCATTCATCATTGAGCAATGTGTTGTTCAGCTTCCAATTGTTTGCATGTTTTTTCTACTGCTTTTGGTGTTGATTTCTAGTTTTAATGCATTGTGGTCCTATAGAATGCATGGTATTATTTCTACTTTCTTATATTTGGTGAGGCTTGCTTTGTGCCCTAAGATATGATCAATTTTGGAGAAGGTTCCATAGGCTGCTGAGAAGAATGCGTATTGTGCAGAAGTTGTATGAAATATTCTGTAGACATCAGCTAGGTCCATTTGATCTATGGTGTGATGTAGTTCTTGGGTTTCTGTATTGATTTTTTGTTTGGATGACCTATCTATTGGTGATAAGGGGGTATTAAAGGTTCCCACTACCACTGTGTTGGAGTTTATATATGCGTTTAGGTCCTTCAGTGTATGTTTGACGAAATTGGGTGCATTGACATTGGGTGCATATAGGTTGATAATTGTTATTTCCTTTTCGTGTATTTCCCCTATTGTTAGTATGGAGTGTCCTTCTTTATCTCATTTGATCAATGTAGGTTTGAAGTCTACTTTGTCCAACATAAGTGTTGCTACCCCTGCCTGTTTTCGAGGACCATTGGCTTGGTATATCTTCTCCAGCCTGTCCCTTTCAGCCAGTGCTTATTTCTGTCGATGAGGTGGGTCTCCTGTAGGCAGCAGATTGTTGGATCTTCCTTTTTAATCCAGTTTGCAATCGGTGTCTTTTGATGGGGGAATTTAGCCCATTAACATTCAGTATTAGTATTGATAAGTATGTGGTGATCCCCGTCATGTAGTTGTCTTTGTTGATTAAGAGTTTGATTGTGTGTAGCTGAATCAATGTCGCTCTTTACTTTCTTGCCTTTTCTTCTCCTATGGTTTGGTATTGCCTGCCCTTTCATGGTTTTGTTTGATCTCATTTTCTGTGTGCAGAATTCCTTGGAGAATCTTTTGTAGGAGTGGCTTTGTGATCATATATTGTTTTAGTTTCTGCTTATCATGGAAGGCTTTTATTTTCTATCTATTTTAAATGATAGTTTTGCTGGGTAAAATATCCTAGGATTGAAGTTATTTTCATTCAGTTCTTGGAAGACCTCACTCCATACTCTTCTTGCTTTTAATATTTCTGTTGAGAAGTCTGCTGTGATTTTGATGGGTTTACCTTTGTATGTTATTTGTTTTTTCTCTCTTACAGCCTTCACTATTCTTTCTTTGGTCTCTGTACTTGTTGTTTTAATGATAATATGTTGTGGGGTAGTTCTATTTTGGTCAGGTCTGTTCAGTGTTCTGGAGGCTTCCTGTACTGAATGGGCATAGTTTTCTCTAGATTTGGGAAATTTTCTGTTATTATTTTGTTGAACATATTACACATTCCTTTTGCTTGCACCTCTTCTCCTTTTTCAATGCCCATGATTCTCATTGTTTGGTCTTTTGATGGAGTCATGAGTTCTTGCATTTTCTTTTCACAGGGCTTGAGTTGTTTAAATAATAGTTCTTCAGTTTTTCCTTTAGTTGCCATTTCATCTTCAGTTCTGAGATTCTGTCTTCTGTTTGTTCTATTCTGCTGTAATGGCCTTCCATTTTGTTTTGTATTTCTGTTTCATTCTTTTTCTGAGATTTTCCATATCGTGGGTTACTTATCTTTAATATTGTCAATTTTTGTCCTTAATTTGTTTATCTCTCTGTTTATGGTGGTCTCAGTTTCAGTTTGGTGTTTATTTAAGGCTTCTGTGATTTCATTTATTTGTTTCTGTTTTTTCTCATATTGTTTATTTTTGTTGTCCTGGAAATTATTGAATGCCTCCTGTACGTTTTGGTTGACCATGTCTAGTAACACCTGTATGAAATTCTCGTTAATTACTTGTAGGATTTCTTCTTTCTGGGTGTTCTTGTGGTCTTCATAGGGTTCCTTGGTATAGTTTATCATTGTTTTATTGGAGTCTGGATTTGGGTATCCGTTTTCATCATTCTGCTCTAAATCCCGTATTACTTTATTTTTTGGTGATAGAATGGTTTCCATCCCTTTTTTTTCTTCCCATATTCCACTAGGTACCATTTCTGTCCCTGGACTATGTGTAATCTAGTATTAGCTGGGCTGCAATATTAATATTAACAAAACCAAGAAAGAAGGATAAAAAGGGAAAGAGAAGGAAAGATAAAAGGAAGAGAGAAGAGAAGAAAAAAGAAAGAAAAAAATGGTAGATATGGTGGGTGATCAAACAGCAAACCAGGCAGTCAAATCCTTAAAGAAGGGAGAAAAAAAAAAAACATGGGAGAGATGGTGGGTGATCAAATAGCAAAAGAGGCAGCCCAACCCTTAAAGAAGGGAGGGAAAAAAAAGAAAGAAAATAATAATAATAATAATCACCATTTCTGGAACAGTAGAATTGCAGGCTGTCTTAGTTGTTCTGTTACTCCTTTAGTATCCAGTCCTGTCTGTGTGTCTCTTAGGCATGTTTGGAGCCCTCTAGTGGCAGCCCTAGTGGAAGCATGGTAGAGCGTTTATCTGGAAAGCCTGTAGAGCTGGGCCTGGCTTCACCCAAAGTGGGGGGATCCTGGCAGGGGATGTGGTTTTCTCATGCCAAGCTGGTGCCCAGCCCTGAGGGGCAGGTATCTTGGTGGGGTGTGCCTCCGGTCATCCCATGCAGATCAGGGGCCCAGCAGAGCATGAGGGATGTGGGTCTTGAGGGGAAGGGGTGCCTGCAGGGTATGGATCTGGCACAGCTCAAGAGGCGGGGGTCCCTGTAGGGCATGGATCCAGTGTGGCCCAGGAGGCGGGGATCCAGGCAGAGCATGGATGTGGTCATCCCAGGCAGAGCTGGGGCCCAGCAGAGCCTATTGGGTGTGGGTGGAGAAGCAGGGGTCTCTGCGGGGTGTGGATCTGGCATGGCCCAAGGGCCTGGCATCCCGGAGGGGTGTGGATCCAGCATGGGGCTAAGTCCCAGCATGGCCTGAGGGGCAGGGATCCTGGTGGTGGTGGTGCATGGATGGGGTGGGGGGCTGTGGCCCAGCACAGCCCAAGGGGCAGAAAGCCTGGCAGAGCAGAGCAGTGGCTCTGCAGGCCTATGGGGCAGAAACTTGGCAGGTCGGCTCTTCTGTTATTAGATCATGGCATGGAAAAACCTTCCATGATCTAAGGGTTTAGAGTGCTATATTTTGGGCTCTCTTTTGTGCTTTGCCTCAGCCAAGTGTGTCTCCAGCGTCTCTGCAGGGTCCCTGGTTCAGGAGCTCAGGAGGTCTGTGGCTCTGTCTCAGTCACCATCTTGAAGCAATCACCCCTTTAAATAGTAAAACACTGCTTATTGCCTCAAAGATCTTCTTTGGTAATTAAATGAGGTATTATATTGAAAGTACCTGATATAGTACGTTGACTACTACTCTCAATAAATATTAACTTTTTCTATTTATAATTGAGATTATTATCTTTGTCTTAGAATTTAATAATAATTTATATACATTCCAAGATGAAAATGGATTTGAATCTGGCTTATAGTATTGGGGAATATTACAATACAAAGTATTTTTAAAATCATCACTCTTCTTATATCTAGTTAGTTCACATCCCAGAATAGTAAGTTTATTTAGTTTTCTATAGGACATAGCTTATGTTCTCTTTAGGCAGCCTATAATGATTTATGGCATGGAGTGGAATGTGTATGAAATTATTCCTTTGAAATATACTGGAGAATAATGATTTTGCTATACTTAGCTCAGTTTTAGAAATAAAAGTCTGGCTGTGTTGGCATAGTTTGGTCAACTTAGCTCCTCTAATTAAATGATATTTTTCTCCTTCACTGTGTGGGAAGTGTTTCTTCTATAGTGTTTGGGAATAGCAATTTTAATTAAGACACTGAAATGACATATTTAACTACATTTTGATACCCTTTGAGTTTAGATAGCTAACCACACATGGAGAAACAAATTCTTTATGATAAGAAGTAATTAGTTATACTTTCACTAATAGTTTCATATGAAATATTGATAAGTATGGTAAGAATTAAAGAAGGAATCAAATTGTAACAAGAGCTGTTTTGAAACTCTCTAACTCCCCTCCCTAATTAATTTTTAATCATTTTTTATTGGCATGTTTTAAATTGTTCATAGTAAGGGATCTTTTCATGACATTTCCGTATGTGCATATAATTTTATCACATTTACCCCCTGTATTACTTTCTTATCTCCTGTCCTGCCTCTCACTTTTTCCTTTATCTTCCACCTCCCTCTTTGTCCCCTTTAACCTTTATAACTTATTTTTTATTTTGTTTTAAATGAGAGAAAACATGAGATACCTGTTCTTGTGGGACTGGCTTATTTCACTTAATATGATGATCTCCAGTTCCATTCATTTTCCAGGAAATGACTCACTTTATTCTTCTTAATGGCAGAGTAATACTCCATTGTGTACACATACCATATTTTTTTTATCCATTCATTTGTTGAAGGTCATTTTGCTGAAAAGACACTCTTCCTTCAGTTTTAATGAACTGGCTGCAAGAGAGCAAGTCCATTGTGTGGTTCCTGCCAGATAAGAGGAAAGAAGACACACTTCTGGATGAAGAAGGCCTCCCCAAGAGCATGGACTCTCTGCCCATTGCCTCTGGACTTTCATTTTGTCCTTCTGTAAAAGGTCTTTGCTCCCTAAAACTCCTTTAGATAAATATTTGGGAGGGAGATCTCATCTTCTTCAGTGTTGACTTTGAAGGAAACTGTTTTTTTTTCCATCAACTTCTTTCTCCTGGGCTTTTTATTTTGTTTTGCTTGTTTGTTTTTGTTTTGATAGAATGACATACAATATGTACCATAAATTTCCTGAGAAAATAAAAGGAGTGAAAACTTATTAAAGGACAGTTTTTTGCACTTAACTGTAGACCTATTATAAATATAAGCACACAAGTTTTTGTATGAACATAATTCTTTACTTTTCTTTGGAAATGGGCTACAGAATAAATACGCATTGAAGTTGGGAAGAAAATGGCTAAAATATTTTCCATGTTTTTTTCTGTCCCACCATAAAGTTGAAAGTTCTAGTACTCAACACGGTGTAGTTACTTCCTATCATAATGTGAGGTAGCAGCAACTCACTGGTTGTTTTGATTTGCAATTCCTAGTGACTACTGAAGCCAACTATATTTTTAACATGTTTTTGTGCTATCTGTATATTTTCTTTGGTAAAATATCTGTTAAATATTTTGGTGATTTTTTTAAAAGTTGAATTCTTTGATTTTCTTATTGCAGATTTCTTATTGAGATTTCTCTATGTATTTTAGATTCATTATCAGAAGTGCAATTTACAAATTATTTCATTCATTTGCACTGTCTTTTCAATCTCTTAACTGTCCCATATAGAAAGGATTTAAGATTCTTTATAAATTTTATAAATTACAGCTTATCATTTTCAATAGCTATCAGAAGACTCAGGCAATATAATAGTACAGATACTTTCTTCTATCTATATTTACTTCTAGAAATTGTATGATTTTACATTTTTCATCTTAATTTATAATCCATGGGTAAATTTCTTCATATTTAAATATTTGTTTAACTGTTGTTGGACAATTTTTTATTATTTTTTTCTTTTATTATATTATTTTTGTACTGGGGGTACACTGTGACATTTACAAAAGTTCATACAATACATCATAGTTGAATTCAACTCCTCCATCATTCTCCTTTATTCCCCTTCTCCCATTCCTGGAATAGTTTCAACAGATCTCTTTTTTTCATTCATCAGTCATAGGGCATCTGGGTTCTTTCAATAGTTTGGCTACTGTAAACAGTGCTGAAATAAACAACAGTGTGTAAGGGTCTTTATTGAATCATGACTTACCAGGTATATCCCTAGGAGTGGTATTGCTGGATCAAATAATAGTTCTATTTTTAGTTTCTTGAGCCTTCAATACTGTTTTCCATAGTGGTTGCATTAATGTACATTCCCACCAATGTTGTATGAGAGTTCCTTTTCCCCCACATTCTAACCAACATTCCCCCCTTCTAACAGGACTGAGGTGTGTTAGAAGTAATAACCCTCTGGTGCCAAAAACAGACACACAAGAGACAGAAAATCTTGACAAGGCAATTTTCTCTTAATCAAGAGGGTGCAAGCATGTGCTCACTCCCGCTAAGCCACAAGCAAGCACAAAATAGCTGACAGTGTCTCCTCCTTATATCCCTGATGCAGTTGTACCTGCCCCTCGCCTGGGATTTGTCTAGGTCAAAGGTTCACAGTCTTTCCCGATTGGCTAAAAGGCTTGGGGGATGGGTTAGGGTGTGAAGGTTGGTGGGTAATGGAGTTGTACAGGAATCCAGAAGAAGAAACAAGGACCCTTTAAACATGCAAGTCACTTAAGATGGTGACCTGAGGAATTTTTATGTACTCTAAGAGGGTAATAAATACTTTGATAGAAAAGATCATTTTTCTTACAATTCCCCCTCTTTTAATTTAAATTCTTTTCTTCAAACTCATTTAGGAGCTGTTCATTCTCATGTTCTTGTGTTTCTAACAGAAACAAATTATTTTGGTAGATTGGGGGTGATTGGTGAGGACTGTCTCAATTAACTGCTGTATTAGTCCTTGCACACAAGGAATTATGCAGCATCCTGCTAAAATAAAAACTCTAGCCACTATGATCAAGGAGGTTAGGACTGAGGTCATCCAGTCCTTCCATCTTCCAAACCAATTTCCATTAAGTCAGTGAAGGGATCATTTATATCTGAGTTTTTAGCTAGCTTGCTAGGTAGGGAAGTTAATCCCTGTTGGGCCTTAGTAATAGTTCCATCTGGGACTGTATTATTTAGTATGAAAACTTCTTCCTTTTTCTAGATATTGTGGCATGGGCTGGGGATCTAAATGCTAGGATGAAAGGGATTACCAACTGCACCAGAGCAAAGGTGCCTGCCCAGTTACCTGGAGAGTCTCAAGTAAAAGTCTTCTGCAGTACCACCAGACATCAACTCTGCCCACTGAGAGTGTGGAGTGGTTTGTGAAGCTGTTGAAGGACCAGCTTTCACTGCATACCATCAAGTTTCCCATATTTGTCAATTGTCCCCCTTGTCTGGAGAGACATGGGGTATAATTGACGTCAGGATGGGTGGCCTAATAGTCCTCGGAGGCTGACCCATAGGACCTCTAACCTCTGGGAACAGTAATGATAGTGTCTGACAGGATTCATTGCCCCAAGTCTTGGCATCCTAAGACATAGCCAACATGCAATACATTCCATCTGTGTCTGAGGACCATCCTAATGAAAACAGGACCACCTGAGACTCTGGCCTCCCAGTAGTACAAACATAGCAATTGCTCTTATTTAATGTGTGGGCAGCATTTTGTCCATTTATCCAAGCATTTGTATCCCTGTACTCAATTTTAATAGCCACAGTTTGTCTTAGGTCCTTGACTTCTACTACAGCTACCTGAGTTTGATTGTTTTACAAACGTGGAGGTAGAACTGGGTGTCACCTAGGAGGGGTTGGGAGCTAGATGGAGCTTAAAGGCACCTAACAGGTCTGTCCTGAGACATCTGCCTCAATTCATACCAACAAAATATATATGGTCCTTGTGTCATACTCCAAGGACTTTCTGGGACTAATCTAAGTAGGCTATATTGTTTATCTTTACAAGTAGGAGAGGGGAGGGGTGTGTCTGAAACAGCTGTAATTTTGACCATAGTCTGTTAAGACTGCTGATTGTTCTAGATGGTAGAAACTGGAATCTTTCCAGTGCCCTGGGGTCTGGTCCAGCCCTTAGGATTGTCATAAAAGGGAGAAGTGTATCCTTTATACCCAGTGTTTCACTCCACATCCATCCACTCTGGACAGATACCAGCTTCCCTGTGGGTTCCAGGATGGGGCACATATAAAAGGAACATCCTTGGAGCTGGAGTTGAGACAAGGAAGTATCTGGCATGCGTCAAATTCAACAGTTAAGGGAAAAGTACTCTGAGTTACAATAATAAGCATACCATTTCCCTAATGAAAGGAAAAAAATATTTTAACTGTAGTCTTTTAAAAATCACTTTGGTGTTGCCTGGATGTGAGAGCACAGTCCACTTTAACTTTGGTCAGGTGAAGGCACCTTCTTTACCAGTGTGTGATGAGT